CCAACGGTGGTCGACGCTACATAAGGTCAGGCAGACCACAGGGGAAGGCATTCTGCCTTGCACTGGCTTGATGCTAGTACTGCTGTGCGGGGCTTCTCGAGTGTGACGCTGGAGCCACATACTGCTGGAGGGCACCGGCCTAGAGGGAGATTATGTTGGCGTGCCCATAGCCGCCATAGCTGTATACGAGGTGGTGAGGATTGGCGAGCAGGAGGAGGATCAGAGCTGTGAGATTGATGAGAGTTGAGGGGAAGCTTACCTGGACTTACCTGGTGTTGACACGTGTGATCTTCTGGTCTCCACGAAGATTAGGAAGTGCTACGCCATCCTCCATATCTTGTTGCTGACGTGGAGGGAGGATGGGCGCCCTGTTCTAATCTGCACGATGATTATGTCAGAGGACGTCTGAAGAGAACATGCATTGATGAGGTGGCAATAGAGGAGAAGCCCGAAGTGGATGTGGGCTGGAGAGATACTCTTCTCTTCTCCTCCTCCTCCTCCTCTCTCTCTCTCTCTCTCTCTCTCTTACTTTTCTTTGATGAGACGATGCTTCTGAATTGTGCATACAATCAAGACATGGACTTGTAATTTGACTTCGGAGGCTTCATCATGTGCGCTAGGTTCAGACTTGTATTGCATTGCTGACCGGCTTCTCAACGAGACTGGGTTGATTACAGAACTCTTAAGCTTGTCAAAATACTGGAAACCCATTACCTGTTAGGACCTGCAAACCACGGACTGAGACACAGCTGATTTCTGAGTTTTGCGGATGGAATGTATGCCTTGCTGAGTTTCCCACTTGTTGCTGAGTTTTCTAAGTCTGAGTGTGTGTGTGCTTGCTGGTCGGTGTGCCTGTCTGAGTGCTTGTTGGATCAAGCGTGTGTGTGACCCGCAAAGGGTACTTGTCTGTGCAGCGGGGAAAACACTCACGTGGCGGGGACAGAGGCCCGCGACACTTGGAGCAGCGGAAAAACACTCAAGTAGCAGGTAGGCGGGTACCACACCAGGAAGAGGTAGATGTGCCAGGTACTTGAGGCCGAGCAGAAGAAGACAAAGTTGGCATTTTTAGAGGCCCAGTAGCGGTAGGTTAGAGTTAGGCCGGTACCAGTGCAAGTAGCCTGAGTCTAGGGCGTGTCCGGACGATAGCACAGCCTGCAACGATGTTTCCCTCCAAATGGGAGGAGGTACCAGTTGCTTGGAGCCCGTGCGGTCTAGGAAGTCACTCGCCAAGAGGGAAGCAGGCCGGTATATCTCCAGGAACGAAGTGCTCCTCCTCGTTGTCGGTGTGCAAGTTTGGCGACACACTGGTCGGAGCGCTGGCAGGAGCAGCGCTGCTGGGGAAGGAGCAAGGACAGGAGGAGGAAGAAGACCAGGACTAGGAAGCGGGAGCGCCAGAGGTACTTACCTGGCTATGGTGGACGCCATCTTCATCACCTTGGTGGACGCTGCATCTGGAAGGCCCCGCTGGTGTAGAGCTGCACCAAGAAGCTTTGAGGCAGAGTCAGGCACGGCGGCCTGAACAAGAGCAGCCATAGCTGTTTTGTGTTGTCCTTTGCACAGCAGGGCCATGCCCTGGTAGTCCATCATAGCCTCAGCCTTGGAGGGTGGAGGAAGAAGGGTGGCCATGGCTATGGTGGACCTCATGTGATACCTGCAGTAGAAGAGGGATTCGGACATTGATTCTGGTTCGACCATTCAACATTATTATTATTATTATTTCTTGTTTGAATGAGAGGGGAGGAGATATAAAGGAGGATAGTGGTTAGCGAAGAAGAAGGGAATTCTCATTGGTCTTTGCTGGTGTACATCTTCTTCTTCTTTCTTTCATCTTCTTCTTCTTCTTCTTTCCCTCTCACTCCTCTCAAGATCATTCATTTCGTTCTGCAATTGGACGGCATTGTACTTTCTCATTTCCCTCTCTCTCCTCTCAAGATCATTCATTTCTTTCTGCAATTGGACGGCATTGTACTTTCTCATGAATGTGTACTTCGAAATTGTCCAGGATCATAACATCACCACAATAAACCAACTAATCACAATCCACTAAATCGATTCAATTCACATATTGGTGGAAAGACGAAAAACCCTACACTAGTCAGAATGAAGTTGGAAAAACTAAACATAAGGTCTATCTTCTTCTTCTTCTTTAATTTTGACAATATCTCGATTCATGGGTGTCATCCTTGCTCAGGGCCCATGCTAATCTTCTCTGTATCATTCCAATTTTTGGGGATGTCAGGAAGGACTTCTTTTTGACTTTATTGCTCCTGTTTTTAATTTCTTGTTTCGCCACAGCGTATCTCTACTTGTGCTCCTTTCAACTTATAGATGAAGCGGGAGCTGAGTTAGATGCAGGCTACAACACAGCAGGATCCCTGACAGTGTACCAAGTCGCGATCCATCAAGGCATCTTCCAGCAGAGGAGAGACAGCAGTGTTGGACTCGCCGACGGTCGGCAGCCCTTGACTGGTCGGCTGCCGACCCGCTGACCGATCGGCTGGTCAGCACCTACCGCTCGGGGGTCATTGGCACCCCGCACTTTTTTTTTTCGGGGGGAGGAGGGGTCCAGAACCCCTAATAACACCACCAACACCCCAATAGGGCCCCCCAATACTTCCATACACCACCCCGACACCCCCGAACCGCCCCCAACACCCTTATTAAACCCCCCAACATACCCTATATCACCCCTATACTCCTCCTATACTCCTACCCATACCTGCAGCGCATCGCGTGCGCGCGAGCTCCACACGTGTGGCGCATAGCACACACGCAAGCATGCGCACGCACGTGATGCGGCGCACCCCAATAAATAGGGTTTTTGTTTTTTTTTTGGAGAGGGCTGGCTGAGGTAGCCAATGGTGCACCTCCCTTCTAAAATATCGAAGGGCACAGAAAAAAAAAAACTGGGCCCATGTATTCCTTGTTGAATAGTCTTTTTCACGGAGGACCCCAGCAGTGCATCTGCAAGGGTCCCAACATCTCAAGAGACGNGCCCATGTATTCCTTGTTGAATAGTCTTTTTCACGGAGGACCCCAGCAGTGCATCTGCAAGGGTCCCAACATCTCAAGAGACGTTCAGAAAATTTTGTGTGAGAGAGGAGCTGGCCAGCAATATATGTTCTGGATCCGAAGTCAGGTCTGCGTTAAAGCAGTTATGGGTTGCAAGTTACAACCACTTACTACCGTAGCTCTCTGTTTCTTTTGTTTCGTTTTCCTATGAGCAGTGGCCCTAAGGGCCTTGCTCCACTTGTCACTACTTGCACAAAAGACAAAACATATGGCAGCGTATGGTTCCATGTTCTAGCAGAAGATGCATTCCTCTCTTTCTTTTGTTTCCTTTTCCTGCGAGCAGTGGCCCTAAGGGCCTAGCTCCACTTGTCACCACTTGCACAAAAGACAAAACATATGGCCGCGTACAGTTCCATGTTCTAGCAGAAGATTCATTCTAGATTTGCACATTTGGTGAGTAGTGGAGGGAAGCCCTGAAAAGCACGTGGTGAGTTGGCCTGCTACTGACCAGAAACTCGCGTGCTAAGTGGTCCCATAACTGATGAAACACGGACCTTAATGTGAATCAACAGCATATATACTTGGCGTGCCACGACTCTAGCATGGCTATGAGTATTACCTCATTCCTGGTGAGGTGGCCCTTGCGAAGTATGTGCAGGGGCCTCTCGGATAACCCGCAGGGGTTTTCAAATAAATGCTAAGGAGCTATTTGTTTGCTCTCTCTCTCTCTCTCTCTCTCTCTCTCTCTCTCTCTCTCTCTCTCTCTCTCTCTCTCTCTCTCTCTCTCTTG